TATTATCTAATGACTAGGTGTGCTAAAATAGGTATCAATAAAACCGCTTGACTCACATAACAAACATATCTTATACTTTGGAATATAAACTAAATGTGTTCCTACTTTATTTTTCCCATAAAACAAGAGAGCATTGTTGACCCTAGATCACGCGCCTAAGATCCACTGCTGGAAAAGGTCTATAATTCTTTTATACTGAAGAATGCTAAAATCATATAAGGAGTATCTTTTTTTCGCCAGTCATGATTTATAGAATCATGTCCAATAACTAGGCTCTCAGAACTACAAGAAGACTCATATAACTATATTCCAGTAAGAGTCCATGTCAACTAAGTGATTTTGACCCTATGCCAATAGTTTATAATCTTTATATAGCATCACAATGTTATGATATACGATATTTTCTCTTCTCTGTGCACATAGTTTCGGAGAAGAATTTTAATATATAAGTCAATGTAAACTAAGTGACAGGGAAAGCCATTTTGGACTGCAGGAACATGATTTAAAGGCCCTCACGAGGAACACAGTTTTTAAAGACTTGTGTAGGGAATCGCATTGAAGTTGTTTTGTTGTTGATGTTATTAAAAAAATCAACAAACAAACAAACTGTAATGCCTAGAGCTTAGATAGTCAAAATATAACATTGCCAAGTAAAGAAGACCTCTTTAAAAGTTACATTAAACACTTTTGTATCATTAAGTGTACATGCAATAAAAAAATCTTCTCAAACATCAAAATGCATAGAGCACTGGTACTAAGCTGGCATTAACACCACCTTAGGTCTTTATTTACACATTTAATGAATCATGCTCATAGAGCCACCTTAGTTTACAGACTTGTATAGGAAAGCACATTAAAAACATCTAGTGTTAAACTTCATTGACTTGAAATAAGATATTTGGGATGCAGACTGATATAACATGCATAATTTTGTATGATGCTACTGCAGTCTAAAATGGTTTTGCAATGGTATCACTTAATTTACAAAGACTACTGTAATAAATCTGTTTTCTCTTAACCTACACTATCCGACGCATATACATTAATCATGTATCATCATAATTATGTTATAATAATGATATATCATGGACAACATGGTCCAAATTTACCAAACACAAAAGGTCACTAAGTTTATATGGACTCGTATATAGATATGGTTATTAAAGTTCTCTCGTGTGAAATAAAAAATTGAAAGCAGATATTGAGCATGTTTCTTTAAAAGCAACCGGATTCAATTATGACACAAATCATGTGTGTTATGACATAATTGACACTCCCAAAATGATCTTGTTACCTTTTTTCCAACAATGATCTTAGGTGAGTGATCCAGGGTCATCATTACCCTCTTATTGAAAGAAAAAAAAAGATATGATTACTTTAGGAAATACTAGTACACTTAGTTTGTATCTTAACTTTTCAAAAAGTTGCATGCAGGCCAGGCCATATCATTGATATATATGTTTCACATCACATACATTTTGTTGGCTTTTAAGCCATGTTTATATTATAAATATAAAATTGTGGAGGAGTCAAAAATATGCGTTTATAGACTACCTTTATACCTTACATTCAAGTACATGTTTGCTATTTTAAGCACGTTTAGTTGATTTATTGTCTTCTTATATGTCTTTACGATTAACAATTAATATATGATATCAAATATATTGAAACAAGAATTATCATGCAACCAAATTTAAATAACTGAATGTATACACATGTTTGTATGTGCATTTCTTGCTCACCCACCAAATGGCCCGAAGGAAGACAAAAATACTTTCATCTAATAAAAAGTACTTTTTAAGTTGGAACATTTGCATAAGAATTCATAGAAAAGTAAAAAGGCAAAGAAATAGAATGAACTTAGCTATGTAGATTTTCTGTTGTTTTTTCTTTCACAATTATCATATAAAATTACCCCACCCACTTTCACAAAATATAAAACCTACAGATTTAATGCTTTTCTTACATTCTTTACAATAAACACATAATATTAATGGAATGTCAAATACAGTTTAAGATATAAAGTAACTTTTTTAACTTTGTACATTACTTTAGAAAATCAAATTTGAAAAATATGAAAAAAATGGAATTTTTTCTTGATCTTTTTTAAAGATATTTTTAGACAAAAACTTTTTAAATGTTTACTTTTATTGAGATTTACATATAATTTGATTATCTCTGATATGTTTAAACACTTTTTTTATCATAATAAACATAATTTGTGCAACAAATTATACTATAAAAATGATATAACAGTTTTGCACAAAATCGACGGCCATATTGGACGCCATCTTGGATTTGGAAGAAGTATGAAAGAGAAATTTTGTGAGATTTAAATTTTTGAAAAGGAGAAATTATATGCATGCTTTTGGTGTGAGTTAAAGGTCTGTACAAAAAATTGGAATGAATGAGCTAGAATGTACTCACATTTATATGGCGGCCATTTTGAAAATGGCGGCCATCTTGAATGAGCAGAGATATTTTTGGGCCCACTTCACTTTTGAAATCTACATGATCTAAAGATGATTTCCTGAAAGTATCATGCTTGTATCACAATTTGCACTATTTTCTCAATTTCCCGCCCCACTAAATGTCCTTAATTATGTTTTTGTTTTATAATCAAAATTTGACAGCCTGCGGCAAAACACATTAAAGGCACTATCATATACTATGCACAAATTTGAAACTAGAAAATATTGATGATGGCTACAATATAAAATAAACATGTTTGAGTTCCGAAATATTTAAAATCCTACTCACTACAGATGGACACAATAAAAAAAACTGGCAGTGTTTTTTATGCTCCCCGAAAAATTTCGGGGGAGCATATAGTCGTCCGTCAGTCCGTCCGTACGTACGTCCCGAATTCGTGTCCGGCCCATAACTTCATTATTTGAAGTCGGATTTTAAAATTATTTCACAGAAATTATCACCATATTGAGACGACGTGTCGCGCGCAACATTTGGGTCGCTGCCTTGAAGGTCAAGGTCACAGCATGACCTTGCAGTAAAATCGTGTCCGTTCTATAAATTTGTTATTTGAAGTTGGATTTTAAAATTATTTCACAGAAACGATCACCATATTGAGACGACGTGTCGCGCGCAACATTTGCGTCGCTACCTTGAAGGTCAAGGTCACAGCATGACCTTGCAGCAAAATCGTGTCCGGTCCATAACTTCATTATTTGAAGTCGGATTTTAAAGCTATTATACAGAAATGATCACCATATTGAGACGACGTGTCATGCATAACATTTGGGTCGCTACCTTGAAGGTCAAGGTCACAGCATGACCTTGCAGCAAAATCGTTTCCGGTCCATAACTTCATTATTTGAAGTCGAATTTTAGAACTATGTATATGTTAGTGTTCATCCGTGCTGTTCTACAGAAATTAGAAACTTCGACGGGAGCGATAGCGACAGGAGAATGTTTCTAATTTCTGTAGAACAGCTAAGCTAATAACATATTTAGTGTCAAGCTTTATTTGGCCCTTGATTACGTCACTACGCGGTACTATGAAGCACTATGAAAAATAGAAGGCGACTATGAACGGATTTCAATATAGTATCGACTTTTTTTCTTCTATGAAATTTAACACACATAATTTTTAAGAAATACCGCGTTTTCATTGGATGACAAATAAAGCTGGACACTAATATACAGAAATGATCACCATATTGAGACGACGTGTCATGCGCAACATTTGGGTCGCTACCTTGATGGTCAAGGTCACAGCATGACCTTGCAGCAAAATCGTGTCCGGTCCATAACTTCGTTATTTGAAGTCGGATTTTAAAACTATTATACAGAAATGATCACCATATTGAGACAAATGTGTCGCGCGCAACATTTGGGTCGCTACCTTGAAGGTCAAGGTCATGGCATGACCTTGCAGCAGCAAAATCTTGTCCGGTCCATAACTTCATTATTTGAAGTCGTATTTTAAAACTATTTCACAGAAATGATCATTATATTGAGATAATGTTTCGTGTGCAATATTTTGGGGGCTACCTTGAAGGTCAAGGTCACAGCATGACCTTGCAAGAAAATCGTGTCTGCGCCATAACTTCATTATTTGAAGTCGGAATTTACAACTATTTCACAGAAATGATCACCATATTGAGACAATGTGTCGCGCGCAATATTTTGGTTGTTTTTACACTTTGAACTTTGTCTGTGACATAACTCTGACACTACAAGACGTATACCTTCCTGTGTCCAAAACCTATTCGGGGAGCATCACCCAGTTCAACCGGCTCTTGTTTTTTAAACCAACTTTACTTGACCTGACTGAAATAGGGGACATATGTTCCCATACATTGTTTACTAATTATTTTATTCAAACTCGACATATCCAGTAAGCATTTCTAGCATAGTATTCTCTAAGAACTTAATGTCAATAAAATGACAGAGCATTACATACACGGGTATTTAGTTTGCATCTTTTCAATTTTTTAACAGCTATCGAGAGCAATGAAAACGAATGGAAAGAAGAAAACAATCAAAGCGACATTTCCAACGGTTAAGGCATTTTTAAAGTGTTTGTCTTCATTGCTTCATTTCTACTATGAGGAATGCTAATTATTTACTAAGTGTAGATAGTTATTTACAAAAGATATTGATTAAGTAACTATACACTCAACTCCATTTCCGGTCAATATTTGCATATTTGATAAATGTGATACACATATACATGTATATATTTTATCAGTCTCAATAATTCTAGAACAACGGTTTACATGAAAATGGCTTCGAGGTGCTGATTTCCTGAAAAAACCTTAATTTCAGAGATTTTTAAAGTGGCAAAAACATAGAAAGTTACCAAAGATGTTTAGCGATAAGATATATTACTAAGAACTCAGAATATATTGTTAATGTTATTCTGAGAGTATGTGAAAGAATGATATGAAAATAATAAAGAGAGATACATGTACAACATATGAGACAAATGTGTATCTAGAAGACAATATGGTAATATTTATAATATCAAAGTTACATACCCTCAAACCATTCCCTTCTTTGGTCGTCGATAAAGTCGTCATACAGCATATCAGAGTCATCTAGTGTAAAGTAATCTTCCAGATCTTTGAACGGTCCCTTATGCGACTGGCTTCTTTTCAGGGGATTCAGATTACAAACCGTCACGCTTGGAAACACCAGGTTAGGGACAGCCTTCACCTCTATCTTAACCTCTACAGGATAACTACAAACATCAAAATTATTGCTTAGTTCAACAGGCAGTCAATTTCATAAGTTTGTTGTTTAAGTCGTATGTTTTTGGAGGAATTTACTGTTATTTTTTAACTGCATTAGCCTTCAGTTTCTTTATTCCATGGTCAAATCATTTAAAAGCTTAAATGGTGAAAATAATTTTAAATGGGATATTAAAATCCAGTCAGTTTAACTGTTCGGCCAAGTAAGCAGTTTTGTGTGTGTGCCACATATAGAAGCTACTAGGCAATATTTGCACTACAATAACATACTGTTCTTTGAACTTTATGGTAATATCAGACAATACATTTCTTCTTGGAACGCGTTTGTTAAAAGCTTATATCAAGTTTTTGATTAAATTAAATTACATATGAAACAAACCACTAGATTTTACAATGTTCTAATTAGGACAAATACCTGAGATATTTATTGAACAGCCAAATACACTGTATGATGAGCCATGTAAACATTGTCAGACATGCTAATACCCACAACAACCTCTTGCACCAGTTGGAGGATTTATGTATACGTGTCAGGGCTGAGAAGCTTGTCTCGGAGCAGAAATCATCGTATATTTGCTTTGCGGTTCTAGTTTTCCACCGTTCTGCAGCTAGTTTACCGGCCTTTGCATCTAAATGTAGTAAAACACTTATTGCACCTTTTTTTCTGGCGAAATTATGAAGATAATTCGATTTACATGGTCCGCACTCCCAACTTTTAAATATCCCAAGGACGTCATTCAGGTTCATCGAAGCATACAATTTTAATAATAAACCAAACAGTACAGTGAAAACATATCATAACATTAGATAATATTATTTTGCAATTTGTTAACCTTTTAAATGACTAATTAAGATCCCACAAAAATGTTCCTCTTTTTGTACTTAAATATTCTATATTTGTTATCTCTATATTCATTAACACTTCTGAAAATAATGACCAAGTTGTCGTGCTGATCGTCATTAACGTTTGATTGATGAATAGTGACAATTATGTCAATGCTAAGTCGCAGATAAAACAGTACAAAACTGAACAAATTTAGCCTTCGTGAATAAACATGAGTATTGTTGCGAAGAAATATAAAATGTAATTCGATATAATGTAATCTACTTAATAAACAAATTTCTGTGTCTAACTGTACCTATTAAAGTAAAAAAACATTTTTCCTTTCAAAATCTAAATCTGTATATACAAAATGTTTTAACTGAAAATTAGCGTTTCACATAAGTATAATCAATACATATACACATCTAAAAAATCTAAAAAAGGGAAAATAGTTTGAACTATTGCATAGTATACAAAGGACAATTATCACAAGAACATGAAGATTATCTTTAAAGATAACAAATCTTGTTCCAAGCATCAAAGTTGCTGCTTTGTCGTGTTACAGAAAAAGAAGCAAAAATACATTCAATCAATAGATTTATAAAGAAACGAAGGAAAAGCACCTCTTTCTGATTTCCGTTTTAAAGAAAGAGGCTACGCACGATATGATAGTATAAATAGATAAAAGTTAATAGGCCAAATAGAAAAAAATCAACACTTATTGTTTAAAATAACGGCAAATAACTGTTTACTTTTCTTGCATTTCGTAAAAGCCTATATGGAAATATCTGGAAAAAGTCATCCCTCGGAAGCATTTAAAAAAATAACATGAAAATTGCAGACTGGGTTTGATTGAATATGTACATTAGGAAAGTTTCTCCGCAAAATGCCAATATTGTTATCTAATAAACATATTGTTGTTCTTTCTTTATTTATTTAAGTGTCAGCGGGCCTTTAAATGTTATAATATTCACAATAACGTCAGTGGTCCGACAAAAAAATAGTGATCGTTTGATCGGGCATTATTACGTTTCTGTCGGACCACAAAAATCTAACGGCGAGTATCAGCAAGGATTATTTTACAAACACGGACATAGTATAAGCTGACTGCCAAATATTTTCAGTACATTTTACAACAATATGATTTCAAACCTTTACCATTATAACTCTCAAGCCTCGGACTCTGGTCCGTTTGCGGGCTGACTGATTGATCACTATAATGCTTTCAATACCGTTTAATATTTCTTAAATAAAAGAAACATTCTTGAATGTGCATTTGTCATTAAAAGCCAGACCCGGAAAAACATTACTTCGATTTAAGAATCTTTTTTTTAAATCTATACATAATGTCAACATTTATGTATTCATGCCATTTTATGTAGTTTGAATAAATACGTTAGTCATTTTCACACTAGATATCTGAACTGAATTTATTCATCTTTCGTAGAACAGAAATATCTATTGACAGATCATTGTTTTTGTTTGAAAATATTTTAGGAGAAATTTCAAACTAAGTAATAACTATAAAACAGACAATGTAAATCAAGATCAGACAGTTATGCCGGCTGATATTGGTTTGCACTGGTCGCACGGGTAGATTCGGTTACAGCTTAAAATTTAATAGTTTTACCATTTCTATTACATTTCAAGTTATATTTTGTATAACATATGTGTGTTTTATTATATCACGTGATCTCCCGATATAACCTATCTGATAACGATTCTTGTAATCCGGTCATGCCTACCGAAAATCAAAATGAAATAATTTTTGAGTTAAAAATAAATCAAACAATGCGTAGGTGACTTATGTCTTTTTCCGATTATTGGAATAACATTCAAGTTTTCAAATGCTAGGAAAATTGAAACTAAGTAAGGAAAAGGATTTTCATACAGAGAACAACAACAAATAAGTCCATTATATTTACATCTGTCATAATCTCTACAAAGAAATTAATAAATATGTAGAAACAGAAAACATTTCAAAAGATGTAACAATATTACCTGGCGAATCCGGCGACACTTTCATCTTCTCTAAAATGTCGTGTATTGATCCGGGCGGCTGTGATTTCTCTTTTGGAGAATTTCCGGAGATATCAATTGAAAGATCATTGTTTTTGTTTGAGTTAAGTCTCTGCAGGGGCATTAATGGCTTTACACTTATCTTCTTAACTTCGCTCTGTTTCACTGGTTTAGACCCTGATGTCCGATTCTTTGACATCTTGTCTGTAAGCATTTAAATTTTAAGCGTGATCAACTTTTTAAATTTTTGTTCATTAATTATTATGGTTGCATAATTATATAAAAACAAGGAACTTCTTACAGCGCATCATCTTGTTTTTTGTTTGTTGTTGTTGTTGTTATTGTTAGTTCTTTTGTTTACTTGTTTGCTTATATATGTTTTATAATTAAGTTTATATAGTATTTATATCTATTCTTATTTTCCCTAATTCACTTAGGTGTAAATGTTTACAGATCGTATTACTTTTAAAATCCAGCCGATTCTAAATTTCTGATTCCTAGATAACCATTTTATAATTTCTGCTTTCAATTTTGATTACTTATGCTATCTTAATGAATAAATAATTTATGTGGTAAATTCATATAATCATTATTTATCAAAAACCTAATCAAAACATTTGAAACCTTTTGGAATTGATTTTTGATTAAAATGTTTTTATATTTATCTCATTAGATCAAAGAAGATAAAGAAATAAAGTTCCACTTACTGTTTGGAGTCGTGGCTCTCTTCCCGCTATTAGAAGTTTTCCTGAAGCTCTAGAGAGAGATTTTACGTTACTGCTAAACACTCAATGTTTCTGCTATACCGATTGGTCTGTTGACACAAAATCGGGTAGGAAATTAGTGATCAATTTAAAATACGTCACACACTCACAGATCGTGACTCGTAATTAATAAGTTCTGAAATGAAGCAAATGTTGTTCTACAGCGGAATCGGACAAACAATTAAACGTAATTTAAAAGACAGTTCCCATCGGAATTTATAATCGTTAATATTTCTATACAAAAATCTCTGACAAATTTTCTCCTCTTATTGAAATCGGACGCTTTGCTTACCAGCAAATGAATATTACATGAGTTGATATTTCTCAAGTAGTGAAATTCATGATTGTCGAATGATACATTAACGTATTTATTGGTAGTTTGTTAAGGTGCTATTGAAACATAAGTTAACTGATATGTCAATACAATCTAATTGCTTTTCTTATGATTTTCCATGCATAACATAAACTATCCTGAAAACTACTTAGAGACAATCGGTTGATAATAAATTATGTCAATTGACGTAAATTATTTTCAATGCATGTGGATTTTATAGAACTTGCCGTTTTAAATAAATAAATAGATAAAATATTTGCGACAGTGTTTGTATTCTTGTATTTTAAAAATATTTTATTCCTCTATATGAAAAGAACAAATCAAATACGATAAGGAAGAAAAAGAAATCTGATGTATATAGTTTTAAAAATCGAGACTAGTGGGAGAGTTGTTTATTATAATCATTTTCTTGCTTCGTCACATGACTAAATGAGTGTCGGAGAATATTCTATTAACAATCTAACAATACTTTTAGAATATTAGGAACATCAAAAATCTTCATAGTAACTAAATTAGATAATTATATATAAAAAAAAGAAACGAAAACATGTTTTCATAGAATAATAATTCGCTTTTTTCACAACGTCGGCTTTTTCGCGGAGACAAACTTTCGGGGTTTTGTAGACGCTACGGAGTATATCATATCGGTTAACTTACAACAGTACAGGAGGTCATATTGTCAAAATAGCAATAAGATGACTGTTTTTACAATGCACATATTATAATCAACACTAGCTACTTTAAGGAGATATAATTAAGTGTCAAATTTACTGCAACTCCTATAATGACATTAACTTTATATTCTTTTAAAATGTATTTAACATATCCATCAAGACAAAAGTGGAGTATTTTTCGAGATTTATTTGTGGTAGTTTCATCAACTCCTGAAGTTATATTTTGACTTAAACAAAAGTTATATCTTTAATAATTATGTATTACAAAAAAACTTCTTTCAGTCTGCTACGAGGCTTGATTGATTAAAAAAGATAGAAAGAGAATTTAAGGGTGATTATTCACTAAGGGAATCAATAATATGAGGCAACAAAACACAAATCGACCCTTTTTGCCAGGGCATAAACATATTTCAATATGAATTTATACTTCAGTAGTTTCATGTATACTCAAGCAAGGTCTAAACACCAATGAGACAAAGGCCGATACAAACACCAATATACTAAACGTTATTCACATAATTAGTGACAAATTAGAAAACAAAATGGATAAAATATATAACATCTAATGATATATATTTCAAACATTGTTCCAGTCTTTCTTAAATCTGTCAAGCTATCCTTATTAGATGGCATTGGCTTCATTGATCTTCAGGACAAATGAAGTATAATTTATTACTGAAGCAAAAGATAACATTGCTTTATTGGTCTTACATTCAAATCAAAGGGCTGCAACCTCTGTGGTATTTTCTGATCTTTGCAATCTAAATCATACTGACTATCTGTATGTATTTTCCTATATAAGTTTATTTTTATATACTATAATTAATCTTACGCAGCGACTGCGTCTATAACAGTTTGAGATTGATACATATGGAATTTTGCATGACTAGAGTTGCATCAAAAAATCATTTTCATTTTTTATGACAGCCATACTTTATCCTTGCATATCGTGGCTACTTCCTTAAAAAAGACACTTCAAAAAAAAAGTTGCCTCGACTAGGATTTGAACCTTGGGCCTCTCACACCCTAAACGAGCGCGCTACCTCTGCACCACGGTGAAGTAATACATATGTAGCTTGAATAATAACAAATACATTGTAATTCTAAATTGAGAATTTCCATTCCGTGTTTGTAATCCTTACTAATTTCGAGGTATTTTCTTCACTATAAACCTGTTGTTTAACACTGATGAAAATAATTTAGCGAAAATCTTCTCGCGAAAACAGTACGACATGTATATATCTTCCACGGGATACGGACAAAAGCCCCCCCCGGACGAAAGCCCCCCCCCCCCACATCTAAAAATGACAAGGTGGACAAAAGCCCCCCCCCATGAAATTTACACATAGGACAAAAGCCCCCCCCCCATAAAAAAGTAAAGGTAGGACAAAAGCCCCCCCCCCCCCATGGTCAATCAAATTTACATATAGTGTATTAAAGTTGTGTTTTTTATGTGTTTAAAAGATATGTATGGACATCACATGTAGGTGACATAAAGCTAAGGATATTAATTTGATCCCTTTACAAATTTACGAAAGTGATTAAACATTACTACTCTTCTGACCCTTGTTGTGTATATGAAAAGCTATGAATTCAGTATCGCATGCATGCATTATTTCATCTGTTATCATATACTTTAAAAATTTGTTATCACTTCAATATATACATGATAAATAAACATTAAAACAAATTCTTTTCATTTTTATTTAAAAGTTTGTGTGAAATTTGATGCATTTGAGCACCTGTGCATGTGAAAAAAGATGGGGGGGGGGGGCTTTTGTCCACCTTGTCATTTTTAGACGGGGGGGGGGCTTTCGTCCGGGGGGGGGGCTTTTGTCCTACACTCATATTCCACTACTCGACAGTCAGATTTATGTGTACTACGCTCTGGAGTATTCGGTAATCGACATAGCTAAAAATAGCATTTTCATTGATTAAGCTTTACGGAAATAGCCGAACATTTTTCATTGGGTAAAAAAGATATTCATCCGCGAAATTTGTGATTGTAACCTCATATTTCTATTGACTACTCTAAACTTTTAATGCACTGTAATTCGTTAAATGCTAAATTCGTTAAAAATTATTCTTTATTTTAAATAGCTGGTTTTTAAGCAGTTCTGAGTGAGAACTACTTTGCGTTGTTAGGTCTGTTAGGAAAATTTGTGTTAGACCGTGGATGTTAGCTATGTATTTACTGATCTTGCGATCAGAAAATACAAAAATAAATATTTGGACTTATAAAAGAAATCAATCCTTAATATAAAAGATGTTTAATATTTACACTGAAGATCTTGCTCAATTCTTCTAGTGTTTAAAACAGTCCATTGTCCTGTTCAACACTATAATGAACTTTGATTTTTCTGTTCATACCAATAGGGAGTACCAAAAGCAAATCAAACGAATAATTCTGTAAAAAAGAAAAGAATCAAATGCTTTTTAATAGTCGATCAGAAGATGTTATCTTGGAATATCATTGTGGTCGGAATGATTCATGATGTCCTATATCAGTATAACATTTTGTCCTTTTACAAAACAAGTTTAAAATTTCCCTACTTCTGAATATACATTTCCAAAAAAAAAGAGGGCAAATACTTAAAAAATTAGCTTCAAAAACCAGAAGAGCCGATACATTTGTTGTCTGTCATGTTTCCTAAAACAAAAGATTTCTTCTGTATTTTACCATCCAGGTCTTGTTTTTCTGCAACTTTAGTGTCATTTATACATCTATATCACTATATTCGGTTGGTTCATAATAACTTTCTGTGACAGTTCCTTTCAAAAGAGCTTTATAATTTTGTATTCTGTAAGTTGTTTTTGAAATCTAATTATATTTTTGTGAATTGCAAAAGTATTGAAAAGGTTTATACTTTCAAGGGATAATTTAGCTCTTGATCTTATAAAACAACCTTAAAATCGATCATTATTTATTTGAAATAATTTATCTCTAGGTAAAGGGAAAGTAACAACATTTCGATCCACTAAATGTGCCTCAGTATCAATAACATCTTTTAGTATTTGACTTTCTTTGTCTCATCTTATTTATGTATGAATATAAGATAATGACTTTCCTATAGTTTTGAAAAGTAATGATTCTTGAAATAGCTGGTCCTTTTTTTTGTAAATTGTATTTTACTATAAGGAATATTCTTTATATTGTCAGTATTATTAACCTATGCATATATCAATTTCATCTTATCTTTCACATTTAAAGATATTTCAAATGTATTGAAATATTTAAAATCATCATATTTTAATTTCACATTGTTATAGTATGTGTGATTTGATTGGATCTTGCATCAAAACTAAGTTGCTCTATGAATTGTCGAATATTTCAGATATTGGGAAAAGAAATTTATCCTGCCACTTAACTAGATGTGTTCGTCTCCACGATTACACTTTATTATTGTATTTCTTGAATTTTTAACATTTACGCTTTAATAGTAGCAATATCAAATTTCGGATCAATAACTTACCTATAGTCACCAATTATAATATCGTTTTTATGCCATTAAAACTCCAAAAAAAGGATTTTATTACAAATGATCTTATTCAAAATAACATAACATAACATAAATTTTATTTAACATAAAATTGTAAACATACAATTTATAGTCAAATCATATTCTGTATAGTGTAAAGTGTTCCAAGTTACAATTAGCCGAGAAGTATTGTTAACCAGTATAAACAAATGTTATGATATATATAACAAAGTTTGCATAAGAAATAATTATAAATGTAAGAAGCAAAAAAACTTTAACAAAGAAGAAAAAAATATTTGTTAACGTTGCCGAGAAGTATTGTTGACAAATATAAACAAAGGTTACGGCATAATTGCATAAAAATACTTATGCATGTACACAGTAGAACGAGATTTGTTCACGTGCCGAGAATTAATGGTGACAAGTATAAACATAAATACACTTAAATATGTAAGAAGCTAAGTAGAAAGATATTTGTTAACGTTATATCATATCGATATCCACAAATCAAACGGCAATAATAATATTTCTAAGATGACATAACCGTTGTATATGTACTAATCATTTATTGTCGTAGTTATCTCCCATTTACTTGTAAATCATAAGAAAAAAGTATGTTATCGGTTATTAAAGTCTCTCTTTAAATGCATAATACATATAACTTGCCAGATTATTAATTGTTTATATATTTGTGCTTGTCATTAGTGTTTCGAATTTCTGCATTGAAGGCCATCTACAAAAATATGGTTTAAAAAACTTTCTACGTAAATTGTAATATTTTGGGCATATTAATAAGAAATGATATTCTGTCTCTACTAAATTTAATGAACAATTTCGACATTTTCTGTTTTCTCTTGGAATATTATCGTGCCTTCCTTTTTCTATTTCGAGATTATGAGCTGATAGTCTAAATTTGGTTAAAATAATCCTATGGCTATCTTTGTTTATAACGCTTAAATACTTTTCGCACTGATATTCGTGTTTAAAATGACTGTAAGACGAAAGTCTGTTAGAGTTATTAATACTTGAATACCAATTTTGTTTGTAGATATCTAAAATTCTTTGCTTTATGACACATACATTTATATTTAAATTATCTTGTTGTAGCCAAAAGTAAGACATTCCTATTTGGTTCAATATATTTTTTATTTGATAAGCCCAGTTTTTTCTCTGTATGATAGCTCATTATCTGCATCTTCTTTTAGCATGTTATACATTTTTTTTAAGAATTGAGTTATCAGGTGACTTAAGTATTTTAATCCAGTATTTGAACATTATGATTTTACGGTATATTGCCATTGGATATCTCCCTATTTCTCCATATAATGCATCTAGATTTGTTGATTTACGGACACAAAGGATCTTTCGAATAAATTTACAATGTACAAGTTCTATATGTTTACAATCATAGTATCCAAACACTTCTGCGCTATAATTTAAGACGGATCCAACTAGTGTATCAAACAGTTTACATTTATCTTGAATCTTTAGATCAAGTTGGTTAAATACTGTAAAAAGGTTATGCATAGAAAATGATGAATGTTGAGCAAGATGCTTTTGTGTCCGATTCCAATGTCCATTTTTAAAGAAATAAACGCCTAAATATTTAAAGCATTTTAACAATTTCTAAGGTCTGACCATTGAAAATGAAGTTAAACGTTGAATGTCTACCTTGTTCAAATATCATTATTTTAGTTTTAGATGTGTTAACTTTTAGATTCCATGTTTCGCAGTATAAATTCAAATCATTTAACATTGATTGTAATGCATTGTGTGTATTGGCAAAATAATATAGCTTCCGTTTTTATCAAGAAAGTTTATTCTCAATATTAAGATATTAATACACGGCAGAGAAGGGCCGGACGGTGATAATCGGCCCGCAAAATGAATAATGGCCTTCCAAATAGAATAATGAGACCACCTAAAACAACATTCATCAGTCTACAGCGCATGTACAGTGTAAAGTTGATGTCCTGAAAGTAAAAAATGAAAAACTTCTTTCAGGTAGTGGTAAGACAGTCTTCGAAAAGACTGTGTAAATTTATTTGTTTATCATAATAAAAGTACATGTTCTTGATATATGACCCTCTTACAAATATAACTTTAACACATATTATTTTCATTTTCATTAGTATACTGCTTTAATAAAAGATCGTATACTCTGTTTGAATCAAATGAAAATGAACTATTATTGTCTCCCCTGAATTTATGTTCAAATTAATACTGCAGTATTAATTAAACTTATAAACGTTGAAAGAAATGGATATATATGAGTAATACGACTTATTTGCATAATGTATAATACATTAATTTGAATCACAACAAACATTTAAAAAACTTTCTTTACAAATACTTCCTTCTAAACACTAGATACTTTCCTTATCATTCTCTATGTAATAGAAAGAGCACCGAAACACGAGGCTATCTGATTTGTACGAGGGGGCGTAGCCCCCCGAGTATTAATCAGATTGCCGAGTGTTTTGGTGTTCTTTCTCTTTTGTATCATAGTCAAACATAAAAACACGTTCCCTGTTGTCACAATATGAAACCCCGGCAAAAATGAACCAATGAACGAACATCTGAATATGACATGTCTGTCGCTTTCCCTTTCTCTGCCGTCACAATATGTAAACCCCGGCAAAAATGAACCAATCAATGGGCATGATCTGGAGTGCGGGTAACTGATACCTGCACTCCAGTTACCGCACTGTGCATGTATATGTATACGATTTAACTCTGACACATTTTCAACAGAAAGGTCCCCAAACTATGATACAACTGTTTATTTTATTTCAACCCGAAGATGTAAACGATGTTTAATTATTCATCTAACATTCCTTTTAATAGTTAAGATTTAAGCAATTTTGCTTATACTCTTTAATTAATGTTAGATTTTTGGTATCGTGAATGTTTACTGAAAACATTTGAAATAGACCAGCTGGCTCCCATTAAGTGAAATATTCGTTTCATTTATAAAATAAAACTTCATAATAAGACATGAACTAAAATGAACTCTGATAAGATATTATCTAAGTCGACTTTTGACAACTGATAAGGCAAGTTAACAATTATGTGGTGAAGCCATGGACATTTTTATCACTGTAAGATTTTTGTTGTTATTTTAACTTCCTTTTTGTTGCATTTTACCATTATCAAGTATCAATGTATATCTAAAATCTGAATTCTTTTCTGTTTTGCCTAACCTGGAACTTAAAATAACCAGGCCATACGTATATCCTAAAATATAGTAAAAAATAATCACTTCAACAGATATAACAGTAACGTGGTTGTGTGTGTATTTTTCAGCTAGTGTCTGTCTCGCTTTTAGGGGGAGCATCAGCATGTATGTATACATACAATTTTTCATTTTGCTTTTTATGTAAAATAAGTCTTCATGATAACACACTGATTAAACAAAATTAAAATAAATGAAAGAGAAAGAGGTGGGGTAAATATTCTCAATATCTCTCTATAAATAACAACAAATTCAAACTTTGTTAAACATTAACGTTGCCTTCAAATATCTGTTTTTACAAAGGGTACATATGACAGCATTTGCTGGTCGTTAAAGATAATAAGACCAATTACAGAACGTGTGTCATTTTGTTATACTTTTACAACAGAGTTACTCTCGCGCTGAATGTGTTGAGGCAGAGAGGTTCTTTCATAAACAATCTCAAAATCCACCATTGAATCTTATTTTTTCTGTTCAGGGAGTGGTGGAAGAAACTTTGTGTTTGCCATACCTGAGCCGTATTTGCAAGGCAGTAATGAATATTATTTACATATGTACATTTCTGCAATAGAAACATCACATGTTTTGATTGAAGCTCCTGCCCATCTTAAATGAAGGAAAGTAAAACTAATCCAATCCGGTAAAACAGTTCGTACCCATTATCAATGACTCAAAAATAATAAAGAACCAAGTGCAAAAAATTTTGAAAAGAAAGGAAAAATTTGTGCAAAGTGACAACCCAAATAAATGTTATTTTTTTTAAACCCAAAATGAACAAGTGTTTTTCAGTTTGGGTTTCCCCTTGTTCAAAGGTAAAAAGGGGAAAAATATTGGGGCGGGAATTTTTTGTGATTTTCTTAAAAAACCATCTACAGGAAGCAAATTTTTGAAAATTTTTCGTTTTTCTTTTCCGAAAAACCCCACACACGTAAACCCAAAACCCTTTTGAAATTTCCCAGCCCAAAAACCCCTGTAGGGGGTTTAAACCCCATTCTTACAAAAAAAAACCCAAAAAAAACCATTCAGTTAAAGATTGGACAGATTTTAAAGGTTTTTCCTATACAGCATTGTGTCGGGACCGGGACGGGTACCTTAACCCACCAGGAAAAACCCTATTTTTTTTCACATTCTGGAAACATATGCGCAAAAATTCCAAAAGGGCAAGATACTTGTGACTACTTAGTCGAGCAAGTGCCACCAGTAAAGACATGGAAATCAAAATATATTGTTGCTTCGTTCAGAACTAAACGACACTTTCGAATAAGAATCATATCATCACAAGATGCAAACAGAATAGCAATAGCAGGTACTGTACGCGCAACCCTTGACCGTGGTGAGTTCTACGAATATGTCATTGAACAAGACTATATTGCAGTTGTTGAAGGAACTTATCCAGTTCTTGTTGTTCAATACAATGAAAGGCATGATGTAGACAACGATATAGGTGACCCATTTATGGTTACAATCCCAGCGGTAGAGCATTATTTAGATGAATACTATTTCGAGACGCCGACACATTTTATAAGTCATCACGGGTCAGTCATCATTCCCACCAACAAGGCCGCCGGTCTTCGCTTGGACGGTCGTGCTCTTAGCAGATCAGATGAAAAACGAACAAGTCTTACAAACGGCATTCACACGAATGTATGATAACTATATTCATTACAAATGTTTGATATAGGGAAGAAAATATTGACAGATATTCTCTTTACTTGTTTCAAAACGTTTTCTAGTATGATAAATTTAACTTTGTATTTACCTAATGAAATAAAATACACATCGTGTCTGATATCATTAGTTAAAAGGTAATAAAGGTTTCTGTATGTTGTAAAATCCTAAATCAAAAAGTGTATGTTATTTCACTTACAGAGTTACAGTGTAATACGATTTGCAATAAGCAGCGGAAAACACCATATTTCCCACATTGAGCCTGGTGTCACATTTGGTATGATACTGTATGGATATAAACACAAGGACTCGTACGGACTTCCCCTTGGTTGGAAGATGAATGGTATAATGAAATATATTGTATAATTATCATATCAGAAAACAGTATGTTACAAATCTAATGTAACATGATTTAGGAGTCCAATACTACGTGCATTAAAATATAAAAATATAGGTTATAGTCCAATTAAACACGTTCAAATTATAGTCGAGAAACAAGTCATAATTTGACACCCCAACATCTATGATAATAAATATTCAAAAATAAAAGTTTAGTCATGAATTTACGCCATGACTAAGTTCAAGTATTATATGATAAACTTTTTAAAACATATTTTTGTAAAATGTATCAAATTATATACATTTTCATTTCTGATTAATATTCATTAATGTAAGATCATGAAAAGCTGTCCTAGTTATAAATATTCACCGCATTATAAATCATCCAAATAATAAATGCTCATCTATAGTCTAACCTGTGAATAAAGGCCATCTAAAGGAGAAGTTGATCATGGCCTTTTATAGACGGGTGATCTTTATTTAGAAGTTATTATAATGTTTATCTATTTAATGAATGGTTTGCGAAGAGTGGTCTTTATTTCAGGGAGATTTTTAAACTGATGTGGTCTTTAATACAGAATTGACAGACTGTATATATGTTAACTGTTTTCAATGATACATTTATATGATACGTTTTTTCTGGCTTCATAATAAAAATAAGATAATAATTTCTAAATAATAATATATTACTTACCATATTTACAAATTAAAGGTAATTTATATAATTTAAATATTTGTTTCAACTCGGATCTTTTTTGTATATGTTCTTTTCCATTGCTCAAATTAAACAAACTATTTTAACATTATAATTGAAGTCACATCAATTGTCGACGTTAGACTAGCTAATAATACAAGTTCCAAATCTGGTGTTTTGGAATTGCTCGTTGATGGACACTGGACACAAGCATGTAGTGGTAGCATTGATATGAATGTAGCAAAAGTTGTTTGTAAAACTCTCGGTTACGATAAATATGGGTTGCCGTAAGTATTGCATTTTACAGTCGTATCTATATCAGACAATTTTCAATGTATACTATTTGCAAACATCAGTACCTTAATATTAAAGTACAATGTACATGTCAATGTCGATAATTAGGTTTTTTTTATATGTGAAGAATGTATATGAAAAGATGTATTATATTAAAAATCAAATATTGTAGACATGTTAACATTGTCTCTGTAAAAAGTAACGTCAAACTGTTGCTATAAAAATGTGAGTATTATACTTGATTAGACTTTTGTACAGTGGCATTATACAAATCATTTTGCTATAATTTCTTTTTATTATTTTTCTTTTTTATTCTTCTTTGCGAAATTATCAAGAACCCACGTGACTCATTGACAATTCTATAAGAAAAGTTTTTTTGATTTTTTTTTTGTTGTTGTTGTTTTGCTTTTTTATTGCAGGCAGTTTTTATATTTTATCCTTACCATAATTTTATAATTTTTATAATTAATCTTTTTTGAAATATATAACAAATTAAGCTAAATTTGACAACGAAAGGAGCTTTATGCCACCTTTACACTGATAAAAAATCCGTGTTTCATAATCACTCTAATTATCTACATATCTGTATACATGCAAAGTGGGATAGTTATAAAACAATTGAGCGTTTATTTAAGTCCTGGAGCAATATCAACAGTGCAGCATAGAAGCTTGACGTCATCGACAGGACTACGTCATATAATATGTACTGGACAAGAGCATTCTATCTCTGAATGCAAAATAAGTGATAGAGATATAAGTAAATGTCCATCGTCAGATATTGTTGAAGTTAACTGTGGTATGTTGAAAATGTACATCTATTATGAAAATATTTTATTCGTGACAGGATTTAACCTATACAAATATTTGTTAAGAAATGGTATAGATTGTACGAACGCTGCGAGAGTCACAACCAATTTTCAGACTTAAAAAGTTTTTAAATACTGAAAATGTCTTGTTTTCATAATATTAGAGTTAAAAGTACAATTTGTCTGAATCTAGTAATATTTTCATATCTAAATAGGATAATTAAATAAATGACGCCTCAAAATCTGATTTGTCCTTTCATACTCAATACTTTCACAGGAACACCCTATTCCTGAATAATGATATAATTGTACATCTATGTTGTGATTGTGTTGCAGCACCAGCATTAAACAGTATCATTCATACATCTTGTTCTCCAAATAACTGGAACGTTACGGTAGATATGGAAAAACTTAACTACAGGTAATATAAAATACTTAATAAGCAGTTTAAATGTCACTTCTTTGCATAATAATTACATCCAAATCGTGTTTACCAAAACTGCTGTATCATCACCTATATCCTATTACAATTAAATGTATGAAAATGTCTTCCACAACTTGTTTAAACTGGTTTGAATAATGAGGTTTTATTATAATTCAAGGCATGTATTTGCAAGGAGCGATAAAACTTCTAATACGAAAGAACTTAACTTTAGCAAATAAACAGCAACAAAAATACGGAAAAAAGAGTAAAAATAAAAAAAATAAGGCAACTTAAAAGGTTTTTGATTTATGGTATAATATTTCTTTTAATACTTTTCTCTTTTTCTAAACATCTTACTGTTAACGTATTACCATAAATATGGAATCAAATGATTGTGTTAGATTTCCAGGATCGGTGTCGTCGGATATATACCTTGGTGATAATACATGTACAGGCAGACAGTCCGGTCATCAACTGATTCTTTATCATGACATTCACGGTTGTTTTACAACAAAAACTGTGCGTTACCTTTTATTTTATTTTCTCATTTGCTTTTCTTACGAACTTTTGTAGTTGGTATCAGAAAGATGCATATGTGTCAAAACAGATCCCGCAATGACTGAGATTCGAACTTGCAGTCTCTCGCTTACAAGCCAAAGTAACAACTCTCAAGAAAATAAAATAAATGAATTGATTCCCCGACACAGTTGATAAGTTTGATCGGTAGGTGTATGTTCAACCGTAATACACGTTTTATGTTTATGATGACGGAATGACCTATTTTCAAATAAACAAGTTTTGGTATAAATCAGAAACATTTCGGTTTTTAAATCAGAAAACAATTTCTGTTTTTAAACAAAGCATAGGAGCTAGACATCCGGGACAAGTCCTGTCCCCCAACCCCTTCTCTATGATTCAAAAGTGTAATAAAAATAAGATTAGAACATATATTTTTAAAAACAGATAACTAATCTTTACTTATATTATTATAATATTCGACTTCTGGTGCGAAGACACGACGTTAAAAAGACTCCGAAACGTGGCCAATTATCGTTTCTTCGTCTTCTGGAGCGAAGACACGACGACACAAAGGCTCGAAAAAGTGGCAAATGTTCGTTTTTTCGCCTTTGAGGCAAAGACGCGAAGATATGGAATGGCAGAAATCAGCCGCCATACAATTGAGCACTTGAATATGATGTGAATTCAATGGCAAAAAAAAAATGACCTCGGGCAATATGTCATTCACTATGACATTGCTCATACATATTATACAACGTTATAAGGTTTTTATGTCAAGTTTGAGGGAATCAATGGCTTACTGCAATTATTTCATTTACGGACCCGGGAGTTTGTATCTAAGCTTAAAACTTCGTACACATTCGATCTGGAATAAAGTCAAAAATAAGTTCCGTAGAAACTTAATATAATGATTAAACAAGGTGTATAGTTATTAAATCTTATCAAAGCTCGTCATAATTTTGTCTAAGTCCGTAATATTTCAATGATGTATTAAAAGAATTTTAAAAAAGAATATATTGAAATTCGATGAAATGTGTCCATGCTGTTTTTATAACAGGTGACGGACAAAGAAATCATGTTTACCAACCAGCTTGTTTATGCCTTTCACGACCCTGATTACTCTTTCATCATAAGGAGTTTTAATTGGACAGTTGATTTACACTGTCTAGTTCCAAGAGACCAATTCGTTCACAGCAATGTCACATACACCAATCAGAACATTGACAACGCTAATTCAGTACTGAATACCAGTAGCCATTACAATATTAGTACTCATTTTTTCTCCGACCCAAACTTCATGACGGTAAGTGGTTTGTTTTAAGTTTAAAGGGAAATAAACGCAATTTCATTTTTTTCTATTTTGACAAATTATAGCCTATTTGTGAACCAAACATTTTCATAAACCTTTTTTATTTAAATTATTGTTGTGTTTAATAAGAAGTGATCACGTCACTAACACTTGTAACAGAAGACCGAGTTGTTTCTTTTGTTTTAATTATTTATTATCATTATTATTTTGTATTTCTAGTTATTTTTAGAATACAGACACATATATTCTTCTGAGAAGATAAACGTTTTCCATTTTGAAGTGTTTGATACCATATTATAAAATGCTAATAGTTCTTAATTTCAAGTTTATTAATTTAATGTCTGACAAAAAGTAGCATTCAAATGTCTGCACTTGAAATAGAATATTATTTTCGCAGGTACGGTAAGAAGAACTCTAAATGAAATGACATATTTTTATTTAGCATATAATACATGTAACATGTAGATTCAAATATTTGCTGGTTAATAACTGATAGAAATAAAACTATTTGTAATCAAAAATCAATGTTAGCTTAAAGTTAACATTTTCTGTCATTCCAAATAAAAATTTCAGGCAATATCTGGAAATCCAATAAGAGTAGCAGTTGGTACAAATGTGTTTGTTAAGTCATTTATCACTGACGTTGACTGGACCATGAAGATGAGGTTACATACTTGTTACATGACAATACAAGGTGGAAAATATTACCTCATTAAAAACGGGTAAGTTAGAAAATATGAGCCGCGTCATGACAAAACCAACATAGTGCGTTTGCGACCAGCATGGATCCAGACCAGCCTGCGCATCCGCGCAGTCTGATCAGGATCCATGCTGTTCGCTAGCAGTTTCTTGTCTGTAAGCGAACAGCATGGATCCTGATAAGACTGCGCGGATGCGCAGGCTGGTCTGGATCCATGCTGGTCGCAAACCTATTATGTTGGTTTTGACATGACGCGACTCATATCATAGTGTACTTCTATCAAAGAACTTCTATCTGACAAACCACTCTCAACAGCAGATGGTCTAGTGATATGGTATCTTTTAAAAGTTGATCAGTACAACGTTCCAACTGTAGGTTTTCGTTATTATTCTTTTTTTTTTCGACGAAGTCATTGATTCCAATATAAATTAGTATTTATTATCAAAAGATTTTTTTTAAATTGTTTATCTCAAGCAAGTTATATATACATGTATATACATTTCAACAATAAATATATATTGACTTGACTTAAACGGATATTTAGAAAAAAAACATACAAGAAAAAAAAACATACAAGCAGACAATAGATGCTTAAACATTACCATTTGTTGTATATCACAACTGTGTTTTAAATTTATTTGAAAGGTGTGAAGTAGACACAAATACTCATCTCCTGTCACAGACTGATCACGAGACGAAGTTTGTGTTTAAAGTATTTGACACGACGAGTACGCATGATGTTTCCGTCAAGTGTGATGCCATACTCTGTGACATGTCTGATGGTAAATCGGCACAACAGTGTTCCCAGCATTGTACTTAAATACAGAAATATGCAATTGTGTGATTATTCCTATTTGTAATAAAGTGACTGTGTAGAAGTAAACTACATGTATCTTTCTTTATAAATTATCAAAGATATTTAATAGATATTCGTTTCTTTGAAGTAAATATTGTTGGTATATATACTCTTTTAATTAGCATTGTTTTGTTGTTTGTTGGTTTCTTGTTTGGGTTGTATTTTATTTGCTGTTTAAACGAACTAGGTGACATTACATGTATCTTGAAAACATTTTCCTGCTATCTAACTTACTCCAAAACTAACACACTGACCTTCCTTTATGCAAATGCAAATTAAATACAATAACAAATGCAAACACTTCAACGATTTAACGAGTTGCCTTACATTAACGGGCAAAAGAAAATTATTCAACCAAGGAAATGTTCGTGATTTAATGTAAGAAATGTATACTTTAATGTATGTGGATACAGATTAAAACGATTCATAGTGGCATAATGAAAATACAGCAAAATATGCATAAGAAAAGGTAAAGGCAAGAGAAATGTATCATATGATCAAGATTATAAGCCGATCTTGTTTTTAGCTCAACTGTCACAAAGTGAGATTTTGTGATCGTTATTCGTCTGGACGTCCGTCCGTAAACTTTTACTTTAAACGACATCTTCTCATAAACCGCTGAGCCAGTTTCATCAAAACATCACAGGAATGTTTCTTTTGTAGCCACCTTTACAATTTGTACAAAGAATTGAATTACATGCAGAACTTTGGTTGCCATGACAACCAAACGAAAAAAAAACTTAAGTAATCGTCTTTAAAAACCCAAAGAGCTAAGATATTTAAAATGAGACATTTTCTTGTGGGTGTCTACCAAATTTGTTCAAATAAAAGCTGGTATTAAAAATGGCCCTGCCCAAAGGGGTCATTGATTTTCCTTACATTTATAGAGTGTAAACAAAAAGATCTTCTTAAAACGCCAACGAGCTAAGGCTTAGTCTTTTAGCATTAAAACATCTTCTGTGAGTGTCTACAAAGATTGTTCAAATAAAACACCTGGGATCAAAATTGGTCCTGTCCCAAGGGGTCATTGATTTTACTTATATGTATACAGGTAGTTAAAACAAAAACAAAAAAATCTTCTAACAGAGCCAACGAGCTACAGCTTAGATATTCAGCATGGAACATCTTTTAGGGAATGTCTACCAAGTTTGTTCAAACAAAATCCATTGGGTGAAAATTGGTTCCGTCCCAGGGGTCATTTATTTATCTTATATGTATTTAGTAAAGGCATAAAAGACTTCTATTATAACAGATATTTATTGAAAATATGGTATCAAATATTGTATATATACTTTTTGAAAAAATGTTCAAATTATAGCTCTTGGCTCAAAATTGACCACATCAGGTTGAGCATAGATTTTCCTTATATGTATTAGGTAAAAAACAATTTCTTCTCTCAAACAACAAGAACTTAAGCTTAGTTTTTTTTTACATTAAACATTATCTAGGAGACCTCTACTAAGTTTATTCAAATTATAGCCCTTGGGGGTCATGTTGTTTTTTTCTTATATTATAAATACTTAAAGACTCTCCTTGAAAACTGCAAGGACTACATCTGACGAAATTTAATATGAAACAAAGTCAGGTCAACCTCAACAAATTATTTGAATCATACCATTGGTGTCAAAATTGGCCCCACCAGAAGGAAACATAGATTTTCCTAATAGCAACCAGTGACTGTCCATAGTAAGCATTGACTCACATAGCAACTATTAGCTTTCCATAGCAAAATAAAATTTAATAGCAACCAGTGACTTCCATCGCAACCAAATTACATCCATAGCAAACATTGATTTCCATAGCGACAATTGCCCCTCCATGACAACCATTGATAGTAACCAGTAAATTGCCATAGCAACTATAGACTTTTCAAAGCAACAATTGATTTCCATGTACAGGAAAACAGACCAGTGACTCACATAGTAACCGTTGACATTCCCGAGCAACCATAGACTTTTTTAACACTAAATGACTGACATAGCAAACATTAACTTCCCATGGCAACCATTGCCTTTCCATGGCAACCATTGATTTTCTATAGCAACCAGTAACCAAATTTTTGTACCATTGATATTCTATAGAAACTACTGACTTCTATAATAACCACTAACTATAGGAACCAGTGACTTTCTATAGCAAGCATATACTTCCATGACAGCAAGTGACTTTCCAAAGCAACCAGTGACTTTCCACAGCCAACATATACTTCCATGACAACAAATGAATTCCCATAGCAATTATTGACTACCATTGTAACCATTTACTATACATAGCAAACAGTGACTTTCATAGGAACCGGCAATTTTCCATAGCAACTATTGACTTCCAAATAACTTATGACTTCACATAGCAACTAGTGTCTCACATAGCAACCATTAACTATCAATTGAAACAAAAGGCTTCTTTAACACTCGGTGATTTTTCATTCTTTCCAGTGACTTCCTGTAGCAACCCTTGACTTTCCATAGCAACCAATGACTTCTATTGCAACCATTGACTTTCAATATCGACAATTGACTTCAATAGCAACCACTGAATGTCTAAAGCAACCAAAGACTTCCATAGCAACCGGTGACTTTCTACAGCAAACATTGACTTTCATAGCAAACAGTACTTCATATAGCAATTAGTGACTCTGATAGCAACCATTGTCTTTCAATAGCAAACATTGACTTTCCAAAAGAACCATTGACTTTCCTTTACAATCTTTCAATAATGACTATTGACTTTTGTAGCAACCAGTGACTTTATAGCAGCCTTTCATAGCAAACTGTAAATTTCTGTAGCATCCAGTCACTTACATAACAAACATTGACTTTTTTTATCTGTCATTGAATTTTATAGCATTCAGAGACTTCAAAAGGAAACCACTGATTTTTAATAGCAACAATCAGTGTAGCCCTTAGTAACTATTGTTTTTCCATTGAAAAGGCAGCTATTAATGTTTTACACAAACACTATTTTAAAAACAAAATAATATGAACTTCATGGTATCAGTTTAAGATATCTCCTTTCGCTTACTTGTCATAAAGAGTATTTTTTAATCAGATGAGCGATAGTAGGGACATCATTGTCCTCTTGTTGTCAGTACTGTTTTTGTCATCAGCAGAGAGTAACCACATCTGAAATTGGCGATATGTGATTTTCAGGTAAGTAAAATCGATCACATTTATTTATTGTTTTGTTATAGAAAAGTCACAATTTGATGTTTTTGTTGTTATTATCACGCTTCTTAATAGCTTTTATCGTATATTTAACATTTATCATTAAAAAGTCATTAAATATTTTATGTTATAAGCATGAAGATATCATATATTGTTTTTTGCGACTCTTAAACAATGGTATGTCAGTCACGGCTGTGCTTATATTTTGAAGTTATAAAAACGTTGAAGCCCACTCTTGATGGCATTACACTATTCGTGTAGGTTCATTGTTAAATTTAATTGAACTCATTGTCAGAGGCTAATATAATTTATTCAACTCGTTCAATGGTTTCAGAGTTGAAACTACACTCATTTTGTATCCAATTATACCATCAGCTGTATTATACATGCATATTTTCCGATAAAATCGACCATGTATTGCAATGGTAGTCATTGTCATCAAATTATGTAGTAATACTTTATAGCGATATACATGTAATAGCAACATAAAATAACTTATCCTATTGAAAGTGGTAGAACGAAATATTCATTTGAGACAAGTGTTTTTTACCTAGGCAATAATGTCAGTTGAATGTTAAAGAATGTTTAACATTTGGATGTTCGAATTTCTATGGAACTATTCATTGATCTTCTGGAATCTAAAATCATACAACACTTAACTTGGGCATTGTAAAAAACTGTAAAATCGACGAAATTTGTAAGATTTATTCTAACTTCAAAAAGTCAGTATATCGTTCAATCCTAGTATCTACTCCTTCTGCTTCTTTTTCAAGAGTACTGTATTTAACCTCTGTGGGAGTAAATGCCCATGACGCAAATGATACTGGTTTAAAGACCCAATTATCTTGTTTCTGAAGAACAACACTTCCCGTAGCATATTTAGAAGAATCTGTCATGAGTCCAGTTTCCCTAATTTGATCATCATGATCTAACATAGGAGTAATCTTCATTTTATTCAAAGATTCATGTTGGCTTGAACCCAAGAAAAATTGATTTTTCGTACTTAGCAGATAGGTTTTGAGTCTGTTGCCAGTGATGAAGGTAATTTCTCAAATTGATTCACCATACCCATGAAACTACGTACCCCATGTATGCCTTTTGGAGGACACAAGTTTCTTATGGCATTGACCTTGTCCGGATCGGCTGAGATTCCATGTTCTACTAAGTAGCTAACGAGTTTGACCTGTTTTTGCTTTATGACACACTTATTTTCATTCAGTGTTACATTACAATTGTCTAGTTTGTCCAAAACTATCCTGAATCTAATGTCATTTTGGTTTCTGTCCGTCCGAATATCAGAACATCGTCCGTCTGGCAAAGAACTTTTTCAATGCCCTCAAGTATTTGGGACATACTTTCTTTGGAAAAACTCAGAACTACTAGATCATCCCATTGGTAAGCGATTAAACGCATATCTACCAAAAGGTGTGTTAGATGTATTCAATAATTTACTTTTTTGAACAAAATGAATTTGCCAAAATGAACTACCAGCGTCTTATTTTGAAAAACAATATTTTGCTCCAGTTAAGCGATCTAAGCTTTGTTCTTTAATCGGCAGAGAAAAATTTTAACGTCGCACATTTTATTCAACTGTGTCAAATCAACAGATATGCGCACGTTATTGTCACTTTTATGAATACAAGGCATTTCTGCGCACCAGTCTAGCCTTTCATCTACCTTTAAAATTACACCTACCTTTCTTATACGCTCGAGCTCAGATTTCACATTCGGTAGCAAAAGTATAGACATACACCTTGGTACAGATAAGGCTTACGGCTGCGCGTTTTCATTGAGTGAAATACGATATTCACCATTTAATTGCTCTAGCTCTCAAAAAAAATGCTTCTATTAGACATTTTCAATAGTGTGAATCTCGTCCAAGTTTAATTGAATTAAATTGAGATTCTTTATGGGTGGTCTCCCTAAAACATCTATCTATGTCTCTTACAACGTATGTATTATCTAGTGAAGAGTTACCATGGTGTGAAAGGGTATGTGCAAATAACCGATAGATATCGACTTTCTGTTACCTGGGACGTATAACAATCTGTGAGTTTTATTCATTTTTGGTTCGCCTAAAATGTTATAAAGACTTTAAGGAATAACAGTCAAATCAGCACCAGTGCCTTATATAAAGTATACATAAAAATCTCTCACCTTAAGTCTTATTGTCCAAGGTTCAGAATCAATAGTTCCTTAAAGTGATGGCGTGTCATCTGCACACAGTTCATGTCATCTTTTTAGTTTAACAACACACTATAAAATGATTACAATGTCCACATTTCCGCCATACTTTCCAAAACGTTGCGCAATGTTCTCGTGCATGAATGTTTTTGCAATTATAAAACCGTTTATTATCGTTTATTTTCAATTGTATAGATTGGGTCCCCGGAAATCTCTGCGTCACATCCTGCTGTCGAAAAAGGTATGGTTGCATTCCAAAACTTCGTTTGACTTTGCCCCGCCACGAACCTCGTCTGTAGCAGCTACATCTTGTTGTGATCAGTTTTGATTTTTTACTATCTCGCTGTTTCTCGACATTGTAATATACTTTTTAAGAGTAAGGTCTCGCTCAAGCTTAATTTTGTTTGATAATTTTATCTAAAATCCCAACTACGATTCAATTTTCAAATCAGGTGCAAATTCACAGATGTCTGCTTACTCATAATATAATGTTCTTAATATGATATTTTCTACTGTTTCACCTGGCATTTGGTTTTTCTTCTTGAATTAAGCTCGTTTGTTCGTTCGTGGCGTTTTTCTTATTAGAATTTCGTTAAGACAGTGTCATATTTCTTCGCGTTACTTTCTGATAATTCAAAAGATTTTAACAAATTGTTGATGTTGACCAGCTTCCTTTCCCATTGTATACGAGTGTTGTGACTTGTATTTCTTCGTCTTCATTATGAAGTTTTGATGATGCTCTGTAGAAAGAAAATCGTTGTTTATTTGGGCAGAATTAGAAATACACTTGTATGCTGACGCTCGCAAAAAGATTCTGGAACTTTTCCTACATCTTTAACTTTTTCTTACATGGCAACACTAAAGCTAGCTTTTGGCAGCGTCTAACGTTGACATTTTATAGTGCTTAGTGCAAAGTGGATAGTGTCCGGAGACTTCCTTAAAATTATGGCGTAATGCATCAGATATATGGTTAATGTCAATGACATAACATTAGGCAGATTGTTTAACGTCATCACGTCATCGACCACTTGTTTTGAAGATAACGTTTTAAGTTTGTAAAATGATTCACACCTCATGTCTCTATAAATCCTTTACAATTTAATGTATGTATATGTATATTTTCTTGAAAAAATATTTCGTATGTTACGAATTGATGGAGATATACATGAGCAAAGTTGTTTTAGACTCAGACTTAAGACGAAACTTTTTTGTTTTACAGCGATTGTCTAAGACATTTTGCGACAGTCCACGTACTATGCATATTTTCTATATATCAACGTTTCCTATATTGAAATATAACTGATTAATTCTATTTATCAGCTATTTGACGTAGCCATAAACCTGTCGATATTTTCACCTTAACGAAATGTCTAAACAGAAACCGAGAGTGTGTATTATTGGAGCCGGTCCTAGCGGCATGTCAGTGATGTACCAGATAAAACAACTATACCCTGACGAGATTGACTTTGAATGTTATGAAAAGCAGGCAACATGGTGTGGACAATGGAACTATACCTGGAGGACAGGTCGTTGTTTATTTATTTTATTTCATTTAATGACATAATTATTATTATCATTATTATTATTATTATTAACAATAAAAGCTTAGACTATTCCAAGTCTCCAATAGTCCGGTCTATAGTGTCTGTGCTACATTTTCATGAAATGAAATCATTAAACTTGGATCTCTTTAATTACATATATTAAATTAAATTCATCTGTCGGACGCTCGTGACAGGTGACAGTGGAAAATAACCATATATTAAAACAAATACTCCGAAAGTGACGGATTACAAACCAATAAAAGAGCGCTGAAAGATTTGATTTGGAGGCTACTCTTGAATTTAAAATGACGTCTAATGATTTTGAGGTTAGATGGTCAAAGTTGTAGTGATCAAAGCATATGTAACAAAGGCAAATGTTCTATTTTTTTCCAATGAAATTAATGAGTTACATGTACATGTAAAAGTAAAGTAATCTGAGTAATCTGTATGATTTTGCCCTCCTTTCCCACCTTTTGCCTCCAAGGCTAGCTCAAGATGAGCTTTTGGGATCGTTGAATGTCCGTCGTCCGTTGTCTGTCGGCACATTTTTGACACAATCATGATGAGTTCGAACATGGGTCATCTCGAATGAAAAACTGGGCCACAGAGCTAAAAATAGAAAAAACCTTGCTCACACTCTAGTGGTCACATTTTTGACTCAATTATCATCAAACTTGATCAGGATCCTTGTCTAGGTTCTTGCTCTGATGAGTTCGAACATGGGTTATCTCGGATGAAAAACTAGGTCACAGAAGCTAAAAATAGAAAAACCTTGTTTACATTCTAGTGTTCACATTTTTGACTCAATTATCATCAAACTTGATCAGGATGCTTGTCTAGGTTATTGCTCTGATGAGTTCGAACATGGGTTATCTCGGATGAAAAACTAGGTCACAGAAGCTAAAAAAGACTTGTTAACAATCTAGTGGCTCCTGTTTTGATCTAGTCATCTTGGAATTTGGTCTGAAACTTTGTTTTGATTATTCCTAGGTCAAGTTCGAATATGGGTCATCTCGGATGAAAAGCTACGTCACACCGCCCAAATATGGAAAAAGCTTGTTAACCTTTTAGTGGTCACATTTTTGACTCACTTGTCATGAAACTTGGTCAGAATGCTTGTTTAAGTAATTGTTTGGATGAGTTCGATAGGCCAGGTGAGCGATCTAGGGCCATCTTGGCCCTCTTGTTTAAAATATGCATCACAAAATTTGTCGGGTTATAATAAACACTGATTATATTGATTATATTCGACTATGCAACAACAGTTATGATTTTACATTTCAGACGCGGACGAATATGGTGAAGAGTTGCCGTCCTATTTGCCAAGAGAAATGTATCGACGCTACCTTGACGGTGAGGGAATTCATTTTACTCGCGAACAGTATAACAATGGTTCCGATCAGTATTGTGCTAGACAAAACATATATGTACATGTATTTGTAGAATACTTGTGTCACTTGAGATAATAAGCTTTGACAAAATTTAGATAAACGTTATATTGTAGCAAAAAAATCCCTTTTGTAAATCTATTTCGTTGTCAACTGATAAAACGCGATGTTTTGATACTCTAAAAATATTTTCACCTCGGCGACTAGTATTTAGTAATCATTCACCGCCTTTGAATAAGCTTAAGAACGATGTTCTGTTTAATCTTGGCTGACATGAGTAGTAATCCTGTAGATAAATAATAATAATAATGATGATTTGAATATATTTATGTAAATAATAATATCGTTTATTTTACCCTTTCAGAGTAAAAATAAAGAATGAAACAAATAATATTACCAATGCATACACGCCATCTTAACTTTTGTTCTCAACTCAAAACAACATACTATTTTTCATAGATTACTACAATTGTTCATAGATTACTCAAATGACTGTTCCTATATCACATGCTTTGATCTGCTTGAGAGAAATGCCTGTACAACATTCTTGTGCAGATTTTATTTTCTTCCATTAGTTTCGAAATACTTTACTATTTTATATCAAATAAAGCGCAGGACCATTTCATTTTATTGAGTTACATATACTATATAGAATGATTGAGAGAAAAGAACAGTATATTTTCAGAAAGTTCAACTGTGTGTTTGAACAATCAGATATTCATGCGGTTTCACATTACGATTTTATTTCCTAGGAATGTTCTATGTATGAGTTGGTACTTCACTTTATCCCCATAACATGTAAGGTTATGGTAGAAAATAAAATCTCTCTTGTTGTTTTTTCCCTATGTAGATCACAAAAAGTAACGTGGTATAGACACCGTAATACTGATGTTAATGAATTTTAATGACCGCCTCAGCATGTAGTCATCTACAAATCTTTTTAGTACTAAACTCACAGTTTCATTTATCACATTTAAATGTTTAAAACCTCTTTAAATGATGCTAGTGTGCCTAGAAGTTTTTACATTTTTTTCATAGCAGGGGCTATTCTATGATAATTACAGGTCGCATGAAAAAGGTCAGCACTGGTGATTTCCTTGAACACATTCACTATCAACATGTAGTCAGTAGTGTTGAATACAGAGATACGACTGACGACTTTATTGTCTGGGCAAGAAATCTTCCTAACAACTCCCAGGTCGAGGAAGTATTTTCACATGTTATAGTTTCTTCAGGAAGGTTTTCTTACCCAAACATGCCAACGTACCCTGGTATTGATACATTTTGTGGTAGAATACTCCATTCCCACGAGTTCAGGGATGCAAAGGAGTTTGCGCGTCAAAAGGTGCTTATCATAGGTGGCAGATTTTCTGCAGGCGACATTGCTCTTCAACTGAATAAGTATGGCGCAGCACATGTCATTTGTAGTTGTAAAGAACCCATGAATTTAAAGTGGCCTAAAGGTGTTGAAGAACGACCAATCGTCGATGAAATCAAAGGCAATACAGCTGTGTTCAAAGATGAAACACAGTTTGATTTTGATGCAATAATCTATTGTACGGGATATAGATTTAATTATCCATTTCTGAAAGGGAATCTTCATTTTGACGGCGAAGGTACAGGAACACTTTACCCGGACAACTTATACAAAGGAACAGTGTGGTTTAAAGGCGGCAATAAGAAACTATTTCATATGGCAGCCTTTGACATATTTTTTGGGTTTGGTTTATTGGATGCACAAGCCATGTGGATTTTGAAGTTCATCTTTAAAGAATTATGTGGACAAAAAGTTCAGTTTGAGGAAATGGAATGCAATATCAAAAAATGGCAGAAACAAATACAGAATGTAAAAAATGTAACTGATATTTTTACATTTCAAAGAAATTTTTTTCATGACATTGGTAGCGATGTCGACTACTCAGTCGAATATGTCGATAAGGCATATGCTATTTTGATTGACCTAATTGAAAAAAGGCAAAACAGCGTCATCCGATATAAAGATGAGTGCTATGAATCTATTTACACTGGGAAACTTGCACCATCCCATCATACAAGCTGGGCAGAATGTATGGATGATTCGGTTGATGCATTTATATAAACACATAGATATTTTGAGCATTATACGTAACAATTATAATGTGTCTTACTTGCTGAGTCTTTTGCTTTCGTTGCAATAAGTGTGACTTACTTTATTGTAACTTATATATCTTCAAAATATACATTGTGAAAAGAGTTGTATAAACAGCCATAAAAAATAGTCAGTCAGCGAGTGAACAGTTTAAACATTGATTGATTTAAATTAAATATTTTCTCATTAAAAAACCGATCCTACTAAAATACATTTAAATGAGACTGAAAGGATGATGGGAATTAAAAGTGTTCAAGGCGAGTTCAGAACATAAGACGAAAGAAGAAGACATGATAATAGATGTGGTTGTGCTGTCATTTGCATTGATCCAAGAATATAAGACAGGAGGATTAGGAGGTTATATATTTTTCCACAAAATAACATTAATGTTTATATTACACCTAGATCACGGAGATCTGACCGTGTGTGCGTGGCTGTGTCTTTGTTTGTTTATTTGTTTTCTTTCAATAAAATAGAAAACACATAATAATAACGTAAAATCTTTAGTATAGAGTATAAAATTGATAGAAATATTTTGTAAAAATATATGCAGTTTGCCTGTTCCGTATGTGCTATCATAACCTTTCTGTATCTTAAAATAAAATCTTAAAATGGTTTGTTTGTTTGATTGGGTTCTACGTTGCGCCGACACAATATAGGTCATATGGCGACTTTCCAGCTTTACTGGTAGAGAAGACCTCAGGTGCCCTTCCGTACATTATTTCATTATTATCGTCCATTATTATTATCAGACTCAGTCAAACCAAACCTGTAACATTTTAAGTTTTGCCATGTTAAACGTTCTTTAGGTATTTTTTTATTTTCTTTCTTTTGTTCTTGACAGCAACACAGGAATGAGTTTTGTCGGAAATGTTGTACATATGCAACCAGGTTGAACAGGAACGATCCAGTTATTAAAATGAATAATGAGATTTATATTTTGATAGATAAATGAACCAGATTTATAAATTTTGTTATTATTATTCCATGTATTATTTATAGAATTATTTATTTTATTTGTGGGTTTTACGTCGTGCCAAAACAGTTCAGGTCATATGGCGACTTTCGAGCTTTAGCTGCAGGAAAACCACTGACCCATTCGTAAATTATTTCAGGCATGAGCGGGTACCCGAGTAGAACCACCGACGTTCTGTGATCTAGCTTGATGGTTTCTCAAATGAAAGAATCCAAAGTTTCTGGTTGGATTCAAACCTACAGCGATGAGAGACAAATTATTTGAAGTCAACGGCCACGGAAGTCCCTTATGATGCAAGCTATTTATCACTTACAACCAATAAAAAGTAATAAAAAAATAAACACTGACATTTAGCATAAATTAAGACATAGCAGAATTTGTTCAATTGCTTTTAGGACCCTTGCTTACATTCACCAATAAGATGAATTCTGAATAATGTCAAAATATATAAATAATATTTCATCGCTATGTAATGTTTTAGTGGAACATATTTCGTTTATCATTTAGGACAGCAAACTTCAACATCAGACGACGCCGCGTGCACGCGGCGTCTAATATATATGCATTCCTCTATTCAGCAATGGGGAAAATTTTAGTCTTGCTTTTGTGTGTGTGTGTGTGTGTGTGTGTGTGTGTGTGTGTGTGCGTGCGTACGTACATGTGTGCGTGCGTGTGTGTGGATTTTTTAACTTTTTCCCTCATATAGACGTGTTTTGACGGCTTTATCCCTCCCCCCTCCTTTTTGGTGCCTCAAACAGTGACAAAATTCCCTATTTAACCCCAAACATTTTTTTCGTTTGTGAAATGTTGTTAAAAAGTGGCCACTCTTTCGGCGCCGCCCCAATCAAAATGGTACATCAGGGGGTTGCCAGAAGTGGGATGAGTCCCCTTGTGTTTGGGGGTTGGAAGGGGGGTCTGCAAATAGATTCCGACCTGAACAGAAAATAAGTGAAGTCGAGAAACTCGTGCATCTAGGATTTAGCATTACATAATAATCGCCGTATACGTATATCCCGTATCACAGAAGTGCTGAAATAATGTAAACATTGTGTGCAAAAATAACGGTGAATTGCGCAAATTTATGGAAGGGGGGAAGTAAATGACCGATATATATTTTAAATTACATGTTCATCAAGTTAAAACTACCAGCTATTGTTATAGTTGGCTTTTCGGTATTTGCCTAACTACATAGCTTCATATTATTCTAGTTTTTGGCATAAATTTCGAAATTCTGTCTGATTTGCACAATCCTGCGTTATTTTAAAAATTTTGCAATATAGGATATAAACGACGATTATATTAATTATTGTTGCATATCGAATCAATATCAACTTCTGCATCTTTCTTTCCAAAAATATTTCTTTAGTGAGAGTATAGTTTGTTTTGAGTATAAGGCCGTTTTTCCCCTCCAAAGTGACATTACGCCGCCTGTCAACCAAGCTGGCAGGGGTCTTACAGATCAGCCAGTCGGCGATCGTTATCACTTTCAGTTTCAGTTTCAGTTTTTATTAAACCAAGGCATATAATATGCAACTGGTTATAACAACAAACAAACAGAAAAAATAACAGTCAAAAAATCACTAGTATCACAATATAAAAATACAAATATGACTAGCTTAATAAAAAAAGGAGATCATATTGTTCATTTCAAGTTCTGAATTCATACAACATGTATTTTATATTGTAACAAATGAGAACGGAGAATGAGAAGTATTACTTATCTAAATTTTAACATAATGTTTTTAAAAAAATAAAGATAAATTTAGAAGAATATTTTTATCACAACTATTCATTAATGTGTCAAGTTTAAAAATATTGGGATGAGTGTAAAACCTGGGATGAAGAGATTTACGTCTTATGTCATTAAAGTACGAACATTCAAAATAAGTAGTGAAATTCATCACCAATAGCTTGATACGAACATAAAGGAACAGACCCTATTTTTATGATCAATTGCCAAGTGTCTGCCCCCTTTTTTCGATTGGTAATAGGTGATTCATTGTTCTAAATTTACATAAATATTTGCTTATGTCAAAAGGAAGTACATCTAGATATTTTTCAAAACAATGAGTATTTTTTATATGTACGATACACTAAACACTTAGAGGATGTGTCAATAGTACTATGCCAATCTTGTAAAAATTGATCTTGTAGTCTAAGCTTCACAACATTTTAAAAGTGATTAATATTATCTACCTTCTGTAAATGAAAATATTCTGACATGCCAAAGATTACTAAGTGTTTTCTTTCCACAAAATTATCCATTTAGAATAAACAATATTCCTAGAGGACAAAGACAACATTGTTTTATAAAGAAGTTTACATATCTTATTTTCCTTAGCATTTATAATTTTACTCCAGAAACACAAAACTCTTGCTTTCACTTGTAAGGCTAATGGGAATATGCCTAACTCACCATAAACCATACAATTAGGTGTAGAAGCTTTTAAATTCAAAATAAATTTACAAAAATACAACTGAAATTTCTCTAGAATTTGAACTTGTTCGAATCCCCAAACTTTACTTCCATAAAGAAGAATAGGTACAACCATAGAGTTAAATAAATGTAGTTGCAAAGAAATTGGTAAACACAATTTACGTGACTTTTGGATCACAGAAAACATTGCTCTTCTAGCATTATCAACAAGAATTTTGATTTCAAAAATTTACCATTATAATTAACAAGAGCGATCAGTAATCACATGTGTCGCCTCATGATGGCCAATTTCATGTTGGGACAAATTTTGTGACAGACGGACAGACAGACGGACAGTGCACAACTAGACTAACCACTTTGTACTGATCATTCCTGTAAATTTGGATAAAATTGCACTCAGTAGTATATGAGGAGTAGTCCGGACAAGCTTTTGCGTATCTGGCAACACACAGAAAAAAACACACCTTTTTATCAAGGGCCATAACTCGGCCAAAAATCATTCAACCGGAAAAACCCGTGCAAATGCGCAAGGACTTGAGCTACAGATCAATCCTGTAAAGTTTCATTGAAATTGCATAAGTGGTATAAGAGAAGTAGTCTGGAAAAATTTTAAAAATAAAATTATTAAAGGGCCCATAACTCAACAAAAATCATTGAACCGGAAAAGTGCTGACAATATGCACAACTAGACTTGGTACTGATCATTCCTGTAAAGTTTGGATTAAATTGCACCAGTAGTTTATGAGGAGTAGTCCGGACAAGCTTTTGTGTATTGGCAACACACAGAAAAAAAACCTTTTTATCAAAGGACCAAAACTCGGCCAAAAATCATTCAACCGGAAAACCCGTGCAATATGCGCAAGGACTTGAGCTACAGATCAATCCTGTAAAGTTTCATTGAAATTGCATTAGTGGTATAAGAGAAGTAGTCCGGACAAACTTTAAAATTAAAAATTTATTAAAGGCCATAACTCTGACAAAAAATCATTGAACCAATAAAATCCTGATAATATGCACAACTAGAACTTGGTACTGATCATTCTGTAAAGTTTTGGATGAAATTGCACCAGTAGTTTATGAGGAGTAGTCGGACAAGTTTTAATGTGACGACGGACGGACAGACGGACAGACAGACCAGACAGACAGACGGACAGACGGACAGACAAGACGACGGGAGAAGTGAATCCTATATGTCGCCACTACTCCGTAGAGGCGACACAAAAAAGTACTTCCAAGGGTAAGTAAAGTTATCTACCGAAATCAAGCTTTTTACCATTGTACATGAAAATCAAAAGTCACCTAGGTTTTGACTTACTAAAAACCACTACTTTAGTCTTAGCTTCATTTACAACAAGATTCCACAATATTACAGTACTCACTCATAGCATTTAAGGCATCTTGCAAATCAGTTTTGCTTTCTGCTAAAAGCAACCTGTATCATCAGCATATAACAGAAGAAACAATTTAACATAAACATCAATGACATCGTCACTCGAAGACATTCCCAGAGTTGCTTATTGAGATATTTACGAGTCTGTATATTTATTAGATACAAATTGCTGACAAATCGTTCAAAAGAGAATAGAAAAAACGAAAATTGGTGAAAGATTTTCACCTTGACGTACACCGGTATAGACTATAAAGAAACATAGTCAACTCACAGTGTACTTTAAACACAAGATTTAGCCTTACTGTACATATTGTGGATTATAACAAGAACACTTACCATCAATATTATATGACAAAAGTTTGTGCCATAAATGAAGTCGATTAACAGAATAAAATGCCTTCCTATAGTCACAAATGCACAGTAAATCTTTTTATTACAACTTAAATAATAATCAATTAACATCTTTAAGGAAAACATATGATGCAGTAAGTACCATATTGTGACCTGAACCCAGCTTGTTCTTCGTTAAGTAAATTGTGGCATTCCAAATACTCATTCAGTCTCTTATTTAGTATGTTGGTAAATAATTTGCCAAAACAACTTAAAATGGTAATCCCTCTATAATTGTTGGGGTCAGATTTGTCACCCCTATTTTTATATATAGGATTAATAATACCCTGACTCCAAATATCAGGAAAAATACCTGAATCCAAAATAACATTAAACAATAAACAAATAACATTTAAAACATTTCACGCTAAGATGTCTGCAAAATCCGCCATTTTCTTTAAACATGCTATTTGTTTAAAACAAA